TGCGTGCGCAGAGCTGTCTGCTGCTGTGTTCAGCTACATGGATGTTTACCAGCATGTGGGGGTGGGAAGGAGACTAAGGCGGAGGGAGGTAGGGAGGGAGGGAGAGAGGAGCAAGGGAGAGGATGGGAGGGAGGGTGATGATGCTGAGGGTTGAAAAGGGAGGGAGGGCACTGTGCAGTGAGGTGAGAGAGAGAGAGAGAAAAAAAGGAAAAGACAGCAGGGAAGGGAGAGACGGGGAGGACGCGCCAACTGCCTATAGATGCTGGAGCCTTCGACAGCGGAGCGCAGCGCTCAGCGGACACAGGAAGATGGTCTCAGTAAGAGGGGAACTGACGGTTGCCTATAATTTAATGTTCAGTATCTTGGACTCCTTCTCCATGGGTAATGCTACGGACAGGAACTCCAGAGCACAGCTCGCTTTTTCTCCTCTCTGCTCCTCTCTGCTCCTCTCTCTCTTTTCATCTCTAGATTTGTTGCTCTCCAGGATTCTGTCCTTCCTCCTCCACTCTTCACTGTCCTCCCCTCGAACCCACACACACTCGCTGACATTGCCATCCGTTAGCCAGGGTCTGTGAGGAGAAGCCCTCGGGGCTGGCCCCACTCTTCCGCTGCAGCAGTCAAGTCGAGCGCTGGCCGCGGCAGTGATGCAGATAGATCGCGCTGCCTGCCTCTACGCTCCCCTCCCTCCCTTCATTGCTCCTCAAACAACCAGCCGTGGATGGGCGAGCAAAGGAAGCAAAAGCAGGGAAAGGAGGGAGAAGGAGACGAGGGATAGAAGAGCCGGGCTAGTTGTGACATTGTTTTGGAGTCTGCGTTATCTGTCTTTTTTTCTTTCATCCCTTTACTACAGCATGGAATAAACACTGTCACTTCATTGGTAACGTTCTCTTCTCCTCTTCTCTTCTGTCTACCTTCACAGGGGTGGCACCTGCAAAGAAGAGCCCCAAACTGGTAAGTAGTTGATTTTTCTATCTTTCTATTTTTGTTCCCCCTGCCATCCATTACTCCCTTATCCTTCATCTCCATCTGTCAAAAAGGAAATCTTCAGCTCCTTCTCACAGCCTCCCCACCTTTCTCCTGCTTCGCCACTAACTCCCCTCTGTAAGGTGTAACTTGTGCTGATGTTGTGGGTCTGTTTGTAGACATGGGATGCCGTGTGCTTTGTGTGGGGGTGGATCCCTGTAGCTTCACATCAGCTCCCTCCTCCTCCTGTCCTCTCCGGTGGGGGCTGGGACGAGGGGCTTTGATGCACGGCGTGAGCTGGGTTGCCAACACGCTGATGATCGGCATCACGCCGGGTGATAATTCTTGCAGCGTGAGAGTGGGTTGTACAATCTCAACCAAGCGATGGCCTTGTCCTGTGATATCCGCTGCATTAATGCATTCTCACTGTTGACACTTTTCTGACTGAACGTGTTTGTCAATTTTCTTTTGCAGGATGATTTTGAGCTGGCACCTCCGTTCAAAGATTACACTCGCAGGGTATGTGATGCTGAGTAGATGAGGTGGAAAGTTTTGGGTGAATGAGGTGTGGTGGTGTATGGGCTGTAGCTGTAGATGGTGATGGTTTGACATATATTAGATAAAAGAGGTGATGGTTGATAATGATCTTTATGCATGAATAGAGTTTGTGGGCAACAAAACAAACTTAAAGGGGTAGTTCACCGAAAAATGAAAATTCACTCATTATCTACTCAGCACTATGCAGATGGAGGGGTGGGTGACGTGTTTGATTCTACGAAACACTTTTGGACTCTTAACCAGGGTTGAAGCCAAATCCAAAACAATTCAAGTAAATGGAACCCCTTCTTCAGACGTAATAAGACAACAGAAAAAAAACATAACATGCCTTCATACTGTTCCTGTGGTGTCATCCAAGTGTGGGCAAGCCCCGACAATCAAACTCGACTTGAAACGGCCTCATTTACACCATGTTTTTATCCTAAATGTCCTCTGATATCCTCCTCAGAGGCACGTTCACACTCTCGCGGACGCACCGGAAAAGCACACAAACTCTCACCCAAGGGCACGTGCAGGGTGCAGGTTCGATTTGCTCCGTCCGCTAGAATGTCCACTTCCGGTTGTGGACTTTTAGGGTCTAAATGACCTCGTTTTGAATTGAGTAAAAATGTCGGGGCTTGCAGACACTTGGATGACACCACACAAGCAGAATGGAGGCATGTTATATTTCTTTTTCTGTTGTTTTATTACGTCTGAAGAAGAGGTTGCCTTGGTTGCAACACTGTTGCCTCCTAAAGTGTTATGTGGACTCAAACACTTCACCGACCCCTCCATCGGCATAGTGGTGAGTAGATAATGAGTATATTTAAATTTTTCGGTGAACTATCCCTTTAAGATAGCTGTCTGTGTTGGGATGTATTGAGGTGGTGAAGTCTGGCCTGCTGGTGGTAAAGCAGGATCGAGCCGAGTCTCGGAGAAGCTGCAAGGATTTGTTTTCATTGCTCCGGCCCCTCCCCCTCCCTCTGTCTCCTTAATAAGTTATTGGAGCAGGAGAATGTATTAGAGCAGTCCTGGAGCACAGAGGGTGCACAGTGACTGCAGAAGGTCAAAGCTAATACATCTATAACGAACAAGAGATTTGTAGTCATTTTTTGAAAGGGAAGCAGGACTTTGTGTGCATCAAACTTGGAGAGAAAACAAGACGCTACGTCGATGATGTATGGAGGTGCCATTTTGTTTGATGGAATGAAAAAGGCCAAAAAATCTGTTCCGTAAGTGGGAAGCATCAGTCTTGAGGTCCAACTTCAGCACCAAACGAGGCCAACGTTTTGTGACTAATTGTATGAGCCCATTGATTTTTACTTCACCACACAACACAGTGAAGTTACGCTCATAACGCTGATGGAGTGAGCAACTTTATATTTGCTAAAGCGTCGAGGTTCTTATCTTTAATCTCTAACAAGGATGATGAATATAAACATGAATTGCTGAGATGTAGGAGGCTGATTCAGGGAGTAATGAGTTGGAATTTATTGAAAACATGGCTGCGCTTTGAAAGCCAAACACTCTGAGAACAGATGAGCCGCTTGCCTCAGCTTTAAGGTGTATGTTTTTGTGCATCCAGACATCGTGACAAAGGTCATGGGAAGGATTTTTTACTCCTGCTCGCAGGGTACTTGTACTCAAGGTCAGGATTGTATGTGCTTTACTTTGCTCAAGCGCCGCTCTTCTCAAATCCTTGAGCGGGCACTTAAGTGCCCATGTTATTGAGGGGCCAGTGGCAATTTATGAGGAGTTTTACATTACTGGCTCAACCACGGAAATTCTCCCTTCATTTCAAACCGCACGAGTGCTTTACTCTTTGTGAATATGTTTATACATGCAGCAGGGGATGCAGTTTGTTGTTTATACATTCTCTACTGTTAAACAAAAAGAATGAACAATGTACTCTCATAAATTGAGCCACAATTCTGTTTTTCCCACGGCTGAATGACTTAATCATGAGAAACCATTGAGGTCTTTTTTTCTGCCTTTGTTTGCTAAAATAATTCACCAAAATAAAACATCTTGATTGTTCCTTGTTTTGAATTAAGCAGCAACACAACAGTGGTTGACATTGTACACTCATAGAATCTGTTTTTACTTTTACCCAGAGGAGCAGCAATCTTTAATCTTTCTCCTCCCTCAAAAAATTCATTTTTTCATGGTCTGATTCTCTTCTCACAAACCACCACCCCGGTTCCCTCTTTTCTTTCCTACTGCTGATCATGCATTTTTAATCTCCACCCGTCTGTCAGTGCTGAATTCCGCCTCCATGCTCCTCCACAGCTGATTGTCAATAGTCAAATGATATTGATCTGCTTCTCCAACAGCAGTTATCACGGAAGGACAGTCAGAACAGCTCCCAGCATAGCGTTTCCAGCCACCGGAGCGCCCACACAGACTCGCCCGTGCACCTGTCCCTGGCCCCGCCTCTCAACGAGAACGCCGCTCCCCCGCCGCCCTCTCAGCCCCTGCCAGGCCTGCCCCCCCAGGACATCCCGGCGGACGGGACCATCCAGAGAAAACCAGACCCTTTTAAGATCTGGGCCCAGTCCAGGAGCATGTATGAAAGTAGGCGTAAGTATATAAATTTTTGGTGGCGGTTGGATGAGGGCTGCATGGGGCTGTTGGCTCACTGGGGTGTTTAAAATGGTACAGCACGTTTTGGAGAGGCAAAATGGGAAGAGAGACGCTGTAAGTCTCGTGCATGTAAGTAACTGGTTTAAATTCTTACACAAAAGCAACAATAACCCGACCTGTTCTTTTCATCTTGTCCTGAGATGTGGTCGCAGTTTGGTGCTTGGGATGTTTTAACATGGAGTCCTGCAGTTAACCACACTTCCATAAAAATGTAATGTTCAGTGTTTGTGGACATTGTTTTAGAGAAGAGATGATTTAAGTTGTTAGTGGTCATATTTTTTATTCACTCTACCGTCATTGATATTAAAGTGGTTGCACAAATGGAATGGAAACACCCTCACTAACTTATTGTGCGTTCATGAGGTGTCTGAATACACCGAAGGATTAGTTCCCAACTGGGAAGATTCACATTAACACAACCAAAAGTCGTAAAAGACCACTCGGAAAATCTTGAGACTTGAGTTGCAAAGCGGCTGACATCATCACTTATTAAACACTAAACATAATTTTACAATCAGCTCTGAAAAGCTGCTTCTAGTGGAAACTTCCATCTTTCACAAACACCTAACACCAAACAGACATTTTTATGATTTAAGTGCCTACGTTTTTTATTATTCATTTGTCTGTCTTCTTCAGTCATTCTTCTAATCCTTCTTCAATGCTCTTTGTTAGTATTGAAAAGATGCGTTAAGGTGATATTTAAACGCTCTTAACACAAACACAACACATTTCTTATACAGCGTTCTTGTTTTCTCCCAAATTCCAACTTCAAAGCATACAAACACACTGAAGTTGTAACAACGATTTCACAACTTTGGAAATTAGACCTCCCGAGAAGCATGTGAATAACCCTTTAAAACCTCCAAATAGACCATACAGTTGATTCAGCATCTCTCTAAAACTGTTCAAACAAAACTGAACTTTGCAATCATTGCAACCTGGATTTGTTTCAGGACTGTTGCAAGACTAGTCTAACTTAACTTGGTGGACTTAATAAACTGGCAGCTGAGTGTATTAATACTGCTAACATGAAAATAACACAGAAACCAATTCACCTAGAACTAACAATGAAAACAATAAAAAATTGAATGTAATGTTTACATGTTTAGTTAATAATAGTTTGCATTTTGGGAAATACTCTCATTGATATTTATGTTTACAAACAACGCACAACATGTTAATTTGTAAAATTTAGCTTTCAGGCTGGTAGGCAGATTTGTTTTACCTGGCCAGGCTGGCTGTTTCCTTCCCCTCCAGACTTTGTGATGAGCTAAAGCTAATCATTTGCTGCCACTAGCTTTATGCATATCACACAGACATCAACTAAATCTCAACAGGAATGTGAATTAGCACATTTCCCAAAATGAAAAAGTTCTTTTAAAGTTCTTCTTTCATTCAACACCAAAGCATTAGCTTGATTTTGGTCCACATAATGTTGGTCCAGTCCTTTTTACTCTACGCCACTTTGGTCCAGCTGTCGACTTTGGCACCATTGACACACTTTTACACCAGACTTCCCTTTAGAGACACATGGACGTTTAATTAGCAGCAATAGTGTAGTTGATGTCAGTGAATTACGTATCCCCCTCCTTGTCCAGTCTTGCCAAAGCAAGAAGATAGCTCCAATTAAAAAGAATAACCCACAGATCCACTGTAAAGTTAGGAAGAAAACGGGAGTCTGAGAGGGTTGAGAAATTTTAACGCCTGATCACTTTCCCAGGTGCCACTTGTCAGGGAGTTTCATTATTTAGTTGCATGCAAAGAAGAAAATAGTAAAAGAAGGGCTCAGCGTGGACTAGAAGCGTAGATGCCTGTTGGGAAGCTGTCATTAAGTGAGTGGACAATAGTGTTATATTTAAAACGGAAATTAAGAATGGAGATGGAGAGTGAAAGAAAAAAAGAGGTGGGGGTCTACATACCTGTCATTAAGGTGATGGAGTCTTAAAGGGTATTTTTCAGAACCAGATTGCTCAGTGACAAAAGGGAGCACAAAGGATAAAGAAATCCAAGTGACATGGCAACACATAAAAGGGGATAAGAAAGAGAAATGTTAGGAAAGGAAAAAGGTCAAGCTTTGGGAGATCAAGAGATTGTGATTTATGTATAAGAAGGAACAAAGAGGAATGATGGTGATAACAGGAGGCCTGTAGCAGCAGGTGTAAATCCTCCACTTCCTCACACTGCACTGAGCTCTGCTCCTAAAATCCTGCAGTATGCATCCCATAGGACTCAAGCCTCTGCTACAGGAGGTACATTTCTTGAGACAAGATTAGCGCTATGGAAAACTTCTGCATAGATCAAGCTCTTCAGATGCAATGTGGCAAACGATTTTGCAGAAAAAGAAAATCCCCTTAAAAACTCACTCAACATTAAACGCCTGTAACAACCAAAGCCAGAGACGTTAGAGAAGAACTTGATTGTTCTTTACTTGCCTTTATTTTGAAGTTTCCATTTAAATTCCCCCCCCCTTTCCAACAACCCATGCTTTTGTATTTGCAGCCCTCACCCTCTCACAGTCATAGCTCTGCACAGGTCCGGCCACCTGATCGATCCCCTCATGCTCAGTTGCCTCACCTCGGAGATCACTCATGGATCTATTAATCAGCAGGAGCAGGGTGTAACTGAGCAGTTGACCCTCCTGCGTGCAGGTGTAAATTGCAACAGTTAGCCCCTGACTTCCTCCGCAGTTACAGTGTGATAGATGGGAAGAGATAGCTGCGCTCCGCAGGGATTTTAACTGTTGACTGAAGGAACAGATTGGAAGCAGGCTGCTCACGCCTTCTGCCACCGTGCTGACTCTCTCGGTGGCGGTTGTGGCCTTGGCAGCGGCAGAACTGTACTAATGCAAAAGGAAATCTCCCTGGGAGTTTGCTCCCGGGTGCGTGTTTGTCAGTCAATACAACACAGCTGTGGCTGTACAAGTGCATGCACATACATGCATATGTGAATAAATATACACATGCTTAAAGCAGATACACTCGTGTATGTGTAGGAGGAGGCCAGATTCATTCACACTCATTCGCTCCCCTGGCTCCCCAGTAACCCCCGAGGGTCCCCTGCTTCATGAACCATGAGCTGTCAGTCGCTACAGTGCAATACTTCTTTGACAGCACATCACCTTTCTAGTGACTAGCACACACACACAAACAAACACACACACACACACACAGACACACACACATAGACACACACACATGCATTTCTGTCTCCTATGGATGGGAGTGGACCGTGAACTAGATGTACTCACACCCTCTGCTCAATAATACAAAGCCCATCGAGGTATGTCTTTGGTGGGAAGTGCTACTGTAGGCAAGAGTAGAAATGGAGCTGCATGTCGCATATCACTTCATAAAAGAAACAGCGTGGGCCATTTAAATACTAATGTCCACTCTGGGGGAAAGTCACTGAATACGTTGTTTATTAAGCTAAGAGAAAATAAAGCAGTGCTATTTCAGACATCAGTGGGGAGTTGAAGCCTGACCATTTCTAATTATGGAACCGATGAATGAGAGTGTCTTTTCTTTTGATAGTTTATTTAAGCCCTATACCTACGCTCTTTACCCAAAATACATCCTTTTATCTCTTGATGGATCTGTTGTTTGTTCTTTTCCCAGAGCCTCCAGACAGACTGTTTGTGCAAAGTGCCTCCTTAGTGACAAAGCTTAGAACAGTTGGGAGGATGATTAATTGCATGTTGACATAAGATGGCGGGTGGTTTGATTCCCTAAGAGCATTCACTTTGGCCCCACCGTTGCCTGCAGCCCTCTATATACCAAGGGTCTGCATGATATTTTAAATGAAGGGGTTTAACTGAATGTCTCATTGCATGTTCGGACTGAAACCCCCATGAGCTTTGCTCTATATTAATACAGCGATGTAAATGATAATATTGTTGATTTTACAGTTCCAGACTTCCAGGAGCAGGACATTTTCCTGTGGAGGAAGGACACAGGGTTCGGCTTCAGGATCCTCGGAGGCAATGAGCCCGGAGAGCCGGTGAGTCTCTATCTCTCTCAAACTTTCTTTCATAGCTGAATCCCTCTGTTCGCATTCCAGTCGCCTCAATTGTCCGTCTAAAACTCTGTGAAATCTATTAACTATAACTGTCAAGTAACCTGCATGATGAAAAGGAGACCGTATTATTCCCAGCACCAGTCGGAGCAGTAGGATGTTTCACTGCATCTGTTTTTCTGTCTCTCCTCTGTGTCGTTCTGAGCTTCTGTGCTGGATTCACATTCAGATCAGTGATTTCTGCAACACAGTTACTCTTTGATCTGGCCAACGTAGCCTCAATCAGTCAAAAAAAAAAAATCTATCTCGCATGCACCGCTTTTTTCTTTCCTTTTATAAAGAACTAAAGTTTTCTGTTCTTGTTCACTGGTCTGCACTGCGTTTTTGAGAGGGAAAAAAGAGATATGATTTACTTTAGAGTTAGACTCGGGTGACAAATATAGCAGGCAGTAAAGAACAGTAAAGACATAATAGTGAAGTTTAAATTGCGGCAGACATGTCATCTTTATAGCTGCTGTGAAAGATAGGATGCCTTTAAATTCTTCTCCTAATTATTTATGTGCGTGATTCTTCTATTCAGGAAAATGCATTTTTCACATATGTAACATGAAAACCAGAGCACACAGCTAATGGCTGTCTTTACCCATTCATGATCACAGTCTCACCAGTCTCGTCCATCTGCTCTGGTTGTATAACAGATCTATATCGGCCACATAGTGAAGTTCGGTGCTGCAGACGAGGACGGGCGCCTGCGGTCGGGCGATGAGCTGATATGTGTGGATGGCACAGCGGTGGTGGGCAAGTCGCACCAACTGGTGGTGCAGCTGATGCAGCAGGCGGCCAAGCAGGGCCACGTCAACCTCACTGTGCGACGTAAAACCAACTACACCGGTAAGAAGCAAGGGGGGATCAAGACCAGGGAGCATAAATTGTTAAATAACTGCTAACGGGTCAATGTTCTTTCCACAATTTGTTTGATATATTTTATGGCTCAAGTTCAAAAAAATGCTCAGACAGTGTTAATTAAGGCAAATTTGATACATAAGGCATAAGTGAGAAAAGACTCCACTAATTCCAGTCCAAGCTGACTCGGTGACACCCATTGTTACCTTGGTAACAGTAAGTGTGATTCAGTACTCCTTGTGTAATTATGCTACTTGTTTACAATGCAGCCAAGCAGCTTCACATTGTTCAGATAAAGGAGTGATTCAATACCATGCCTTTTTTTTTATCACGCCCTCAACCACAACCTTCTGCTGCTCACAGCCAAGTTGTTTTCCACACGGCAGCAGAGCTCGGCACAGTTCCCTTGCTGAGGAGCTGGAAGTGTGCAGCCTGTAACTTCAACATAACTCCTCATCTAACAGCTCACACTGAGCTCATAGAAATATTGAAAAGTGAGCAGCTGTGAAACAGTTAGACAGTAGTACACTGGATCAAATGCATCCGTAGTTTTCAGTCAATCGCTTGTGCTACTTGAATCCAGCATGGGAATGGTGGACTCAGCTATGAACACTATATA